AACGGCTTCCAAGATCTATTTTCCCGCCAGCTGGCTTCCTTGCAGATGATGGATGGTGCCTGCACCCCACTGTATGGCATAGTCCTTTAGTATGCTGTGTTCCGCAACGACAGACCCCTTACGATATGCTGCGCTGATTTAAGTTATTTGCTCATTAATACGGCTCATGAGCTTATTACAATGTACCTCTATCCGCAAGAGAAGTTTATCAGACATCAATTTGTTTTGATTTCATGCCTTCATTACGAAGGAAGTTCTCGAGCTTGTTTGGAGATCTGCAATTCATGGTTACCCCTATGTGGTCATGCAGCGTTTGATTCGTTCACTTCAGCTCTTCTGGTAGGGGATGACTAGAAGATGTGGATTCTGAAAGTCTACAATAGTGGTTACCGTTCTATCTTGGTTGTGCACCCCGTTTAATCTCCAATCCTCCTTGTCGAATAGTTCATAGATGAAGGTTTTCGGGTATCAGTCTTCCTCCAGTTCGCTCACTAAGGAGCTGCTGTTGCTGAGGAGAGGAAGAGTCCTCGGCAATGTTTCAGAGATATAATGCTAAAAAATTACTTTATCAAATTCCTTGACTGTTTCATCGATCCTCATTGCATAAATTTATCCATACTTTCTTTCAGTCTGCTTTTCAAGCTGAACAAAGGTCTTCCAAACAACTGATTGTATATAGCCACTTGTGCCAAGGTACCTCCGTGTTACGAACTAGAAGATGGTGACAACCATCGGTCAGCAGCACGATGTTACTGGAACACTCAACGGCAGTTAGGAATACAGCTGGATATTTAAAGTGATCGAGGAGGACTACACGACATATTTCGACTACCCTCTTCTCACAGATGGTGCCACTGATCAAAATCGTCAAGACAGGGTAGTTTTAAAGCACAAGAACAAGACAGCTGAAATAACTGAAGCTGCTGAGTTCCACTATACGAAAATGAATAGAAACCAATATTATAAAATACTGCAACTTGTGACTCAATCTAAGCAGAAGAATCAGCTTAAAACTTTGTGAATAACACCGGTGGTCATCTCTGCAAACGGCCTTATTCCGAAATCAGTGAACACCAGCTTGTGCCACCTGAAACTCACGGAAAGCATAATGAAAAGCCCCCAAAAGCTGTTGTTTTAAATATGGTCAGAATAGTACGAGCATTTTGAGCAATGCAGATCTATATTATACTAGCAGACCAAAGCTAACTGTCCATGCTTATCCCCGGGCCAGCGGTGAAATATGATCTGTATGAAAAAATATGAAACATAAAAAGATAACCCTAATAGTAACGAAGAAATAGCAAAAAACGGTTTATTTATTTGCACACAACGAAATAATCTGATACATCGAGTGACAGAACGATACCTACGCTTCGGCCAATAGAGGTCCCCTGTCCTAACCTGTCGCCTCTTGCTTGCTATAGATATTACGTAATAATTGTCTTGCTGCTGTACGCAATATATATGTGGGTCTGGAACTAGAAATAAACATCTTCCTGCATAGCATTAATAAATATTGAGTTTCACAATG